GGATGGATGGATGGATGGATGGATGGATGGATGGATGGATGGATGGAAATGGCTGAAATAGCTAAAAGTATGAACATGTATTTGAGTTCATAAAATGTACAGAAGAAGCTGAAAACAGAAAACAATGGAGTTAATGCATCATTTAGACAAATATAAAAACTAGTGACTGACGGTGAAACAGGAGACAAGGACAGACTGTACAAACCCCATCGTCTCACTGATGCTTGTTTTTCTGTCCTGCAGTTACACTCAGCTGATCGGCATGGCAGTGCAGACTGCGTCTGGGATGAAGTACTTGTCTTCGCTCAACTTTGTCCACCGTGATTTGGCGACTCGCAACTGCCTGGTGGGGAAGAATTACACCGTCAAGATTGCTGATTTTGGCATGAGCCGGAACCTCTACAGAGGGGATTATTATCGGATTCAGGGCCGAGCAGTGCTTCCCATCCGCTGGATGTCGTGGGAGAGCATCCTCCTGGTGAGAGACGGGACAACATGAGACAAACTGGTTAAAACAAATAAACGCTTACATCACCACATTCATCTCTAGCTGCATTTAATACAAGTTTAACTCCATTTTACAGCCTTCTAAGTATTTTTACAACATGTCAAAAAGCTGAAAGTGCAACCTAGATATACTCTAGCTCAGGGCTATTCAACTGAAGGCCTGGGGGCCAAATCAGGCCCACGGGTGAGCTCAGTTCGGCCCACCAATGGGTTCATGTTAAATAAAACTAGATTTTAAACCATAAAACAAACTAATGACAGTAACTGTTGGATGTCCGGCCCCTCAGCTCTTGGTTGTCAGTAACTGTGGCCCCCCTGAGTAATTTAGTTGAACAGCCCTATTAAGAATAAGGTGGTGGTTTTTGTTGCCATTGAATCTGTTTTATTTGTTTATTTTGTCTCTCAGGGTAAGTTCACTATGGCCAGTGATGTGTGGGCATTTGGAGTGACTCTGTGGGAAATCCTGACTCTTTGTAAGGAGCAGCCGTACTCCCAGCTCTCTGATGAGCAGGTCATTGAAAACACGGGCGAGTTCTTCCGGGACCAGGGCAAGCAGGTGAGTTTAGAGCTGGTCGTCCTGAGGGCACACTATGTGTGCGTGCGTTGTGGTGTTTTCACCATACACACTCTTGGCACGGTTGTTACTATGCTTCAGATTTGCTCTCATGTTTTCAAATTCATTCATTCATTCATCCTTTATTTATACAGGTTAGTTCCCATTGAGCATTAAAATTCAAAATGTAAAATAAAATGCCATTCGTCAGAGTTTTTGATGTTTCTCACGTATAGTTCGTTGCAAAAATATTTCCCATCCTTGAAATTGTCGTTATTTTATTTACATCCTGGAAATTAATTGGATTTTTAATTCAAAAAGAATAGTAAACTTGCATAAATTACTCATCATTAATCTTGTTTAAAGGTGAAAAATCATTTAAAATATTTCTCTTTATTTTGTTCCATCCGTCTTTCCTTTAACTCTGACCAGTTTTTCTGTTCTAAAAAAAAAACATTCCCACAGCATGATACTGCCACTACTGTGCATGCCTCAGGGTGCTGAAGCAGTTCTCAGAATGATGAGAGGCTGGTTTGCACCAGACATGGTGTAGATCTTAATTTCACATGTTTGGGGAGTCTCCAATAAGCCTTTTGAGGGATGCATTTCTAACCCATGGTCTCCTGGTGGTTTTATGCTTCCAGGTGTACCTGCCAAAGCCTCCCTGCTGTCCTGATGGAGTCTACAATCACCTGATGCTAAGCTGCTGGAGGAGGAATGCCAAGGAAAGGCCGAGCTTCCAGGAAATTCACACTCAGCTGATGGAGAGTGTGGTAGAGCAGATGGGAGATGCATAGCTTAACACTATCAGAGTAACATAGAATGAAACAATATAAAGAAAGTGTTATTCTTACAGCTAGATGTGTCAAAATGTACTGTAAGTTTCTATTTATTACATAGAATTGAACAGTGACAAAAATCCTCACTTTCCTAAAACCCAAAGTACCTGCTCCATGCAGCTGTCAGGCACAAAATGAAAATATCTGCTTGTACAAGACATTTAATTTCACATACAGTATATCTCAATTTGCCATGCTTTGGACAACATGTCATTTCATCAACATAAACAGAATAAAATATGTTCAATTAATGTATTTAGTTTGCTTCATCTCAGAACAACTTGGAGAATCTGATAGAAATCAACAAAATCTGAGTTTAAATAAAAGAGCTGTAGATTAATTGTGAGACTTATTTTTATATATTAATCTGAAAATGCTCTGAAGTCAACTATTCTTTTTGGCATCAGTCATTTTCAGACACTGATATTTAATGAGACAACACCTGTTTGGTGGATCTACACACAAAAAGGCTTATCATATAAGAACAACTTATGAGCTTGATTTAAAGTTTTTGTGTTTGTTTTCGTGCCTCAAACTTCAAATGTAAAATAGTATGTATTAAATAGATTATGATGTAGTGTTTCAGGATATTAAGGATAGACTTTTGAAAATAAATAGGATGCTCTTTCATAATTTTGATACGCCAGAAAAACACATTTTCTTGTTTATGAGCTGTTACACTGCATATGGAGATTTTGGGAATAAGTATAAACTTTTTAAATGTCTATTAACTATTTAATGTTTTGTTGTTACAATTGTGCTGTAAAATATAAATATAAAAGATAATACACACTTGAACAAAGCTCTGCACTGTAGATTTTTTTTAGCATTATTCACACTTTATATAAGCTACATGTACGTGTAATTCTTGTCTGTCTTTACTATATTACTTTTGTATATTACTAGCTAAATTTTCACATATTTTGTGTTTTCATTGGTAATTCTCAATGTCAGATGTGTGATCTTTAATCAAATTTATGCTATGCTTATGCTAGCTATTTATTTCTTTGAAAGATTTTAAACATTTGATAATGTCAATAGAAATAGCAAAGCAAATATGTTCTTGTCTTTAGTATTTCACCGTATTTTATATGGCGTCTTGCTTTGACAGAGTTTATAACTTCTTTTATTTTATTTAAATTGCTTTTGCTGAATTATTGTTGTCTGTACCTTCTATGTTATGTTTAAAACAGGTCTAATTAATAAAGGTGAATGAATCAATTAGCTTATTTTAACATGAACCAACAGCATACCTTTTTTACTGAATATCTTGTTTTATAAACATGTTTTTTAACTTTTCAGAAATATATTTATTGTATATAGTTGAGTAGTTGTGAATAAAAAAAATGTCTTAAATAACTTCAAACTGTGTTTTTGTCGCGTTCTTCTTCGCGTTATGTCACTTTAAATTGATACGCACACGTTTTGGGCCTCTTCGCGTGCCGTAGAGAGAGCTGATTGGCTGTTTCTTTACGTGTGATCACGCGACGTGTCTGCTACAGGCTGCAGCCTCGTCTCTCATCGGACGATGGGCTGAACAGGGAGCAAATGGAACCTGTCAGATTTGATTTCTGTCTGATTTGAATCGCTCAGAGTTTATTTCTGTCTGTTTTAAAACTACACCTCCGCTCAGACATGGAGAAAGTGGTCATAGTAACCGGAGCGAACAGGTGAGCTCACACAAAGCGAATTACACAGAGCTGCTGTGTTTAGGTTTCTACTGAGAATAAAATGAGATGGGCAAAAATAATTCATGTTAAGAAGAGAAGGAATAGAAGTAAATAGTATAATAAATAAGACATTACCCGAGTTTAAGAAAATAAGAGGGCTATACGGTCCTCTCAACTCTCTTTAATATTTTATGCTAATAAACATCTCTTGAAAATGTCGAATCTTTACAAGAGAATGTGTAAACTCCGGGAAAGTTACAGTAATTCACAACAATTGAATAAGTTAGCCTGGCTCGGACATTTCCAAACTTACTTCAATGTGCCTTTTATTCCTTTAACACTCATTTATTCAACCTTTAGGCTAGCCTCAGTGATCCACGGACTCATTTACAAGAGGGACCTCTTTTAAACAAGTGAAGCTGCAAAGGATGAAGCCAGGGATGAGCAACTAAAATGTGTTTTAAAATCGCTATAAAACAACTCAAATCCAATCAGTTTCATAGTGTTTCATACAAACGTGATGTTATAGCTCTTTACTTTGTTGTCAATTTCACATTTGGAAATCTGGGGTTATTTGTAAAAGCAAACAGCAGCAGCTGGCTGCAGCACTTCCTGTTCAGCCTGGAGCACTTCCTGCAGGGAAGTATAAATTGAATGATAAAAGTCAGTGTTTATTGTGGATCATACTACTGCATCTTTGTCTAAATAAGATATGACAGTAAATAATAGCCAGTATGGCTGCACATCATTTGCTAAATTCAACAAGAATGTTTTATATGTTTTTTTTCCAACATTTCTTCTCCAGTAATGCTGCTCTTAGGCAGGTTTATACAGATTGCTTTGGCTGAGTTTGGTGCATGAAGTCAGCTGTTTCCTGTCTGTCTGCAGTGGCATCGGCCTGGCTCTGTGTGAGAGGCTGCTCTCCGAGGACGCCCAGCTTCGCCTGTGTCTGGCCTGCAGGAACGTGCAGCGGGCCGAGGCCGCTCGGGCCGCCCTCCTTACCTCTCACAGCAGCGCATCTGTCGACTTGGTGCACCTGGATGTGGGCTCTGTGCAGTCAGTGCTCCGTGCTGCTCAGGAGGTGAAATCCAGGTAAGAAGTGTTGGATGTTTCTAATTCATCAAGCTGTTGTCTTTACTCCTTAAACTCTATGTCAGGGGAATTTAAGTAACAGTTTATGGATGTTTGAAGCATGTGTGTGAGGTCAGAGAGTGTTTTGTCTGCTCAGAGAGGAGCTGATTTGAGCCTGCATATACAGTTGGCAGACTGAGGTCACAGTGACTGTCTGATAAAAAATTATAAAAACACTTCCTGCCTCACTGTCCGGTGCAGATATTCATGACTGGGTACCAAGCATGTAACTTCGCCTGTTGTGAACTCTTGTCTTGCAATTAAAAAAACTGTTAAAAAAATCTTCTGGTGTCCTCACTGTGACTTATTTGAGTAGATAGATAATAATAGGATAATTATTTATCCAACACTGTACTAAGATTGTTATATCTTCAAATACAGTATATAATTGAAGAAGTCCACTTTGAAATGGCTGAAAAATCACTCCATGCCTTTCTTTGTACTCACAGGTACAATAGAATTGATTTCCTGTATCTCAACGCAGGAATTATGCCCAATCCAATGGTGGACATCAAAGCTTTGCTCAAAGGTCTCTTTTCCAGGTAAACATCCAACAATAATAACCTGTAATTGTTTTTTTTTTTGTTTTTTTTTTTTGGGGGGGGTGGTGTAGTTATCTGTTAATGTTTATAGCTGTACAAAGGTTCATTATGTTTCTGATGGTCCCTAACCTCTTCTACTGCAGGAACGTTATCAACATGTTCGCCACAGCAGAAGGTCTCTTAACTCAGCAGGACAGTCCCAACTCAGATGGTCTACAGGAAGTTTTTGCTACTAACCTGTTTGGTCATTTCCTCCTGGTACACAGAAGCTCTAAATTTGTCAATATGTCGATTTCTTATTATATTCCTTTTGTTTTAAAAACAGCTGTTTAGGATGTACAGAAACAGTGACGTATGAATACAGATGTTATATCTGTTGATAAACCGCTGAGTAGGTAGTGGATGGAAAGATGGGGAGTAAAAACAAGATGTTGTGTTGTTTGCATTATAAAACTTTAACTTTAGATACGAGTTAGGGCTTCGTCTATATTTAAAAAGCTGCTGAGATCAAACTATTGTTTTTTTAAGCTTTTTAAGTCTAATCCTCACAGAAAATGTAAGTTTCAATCGGTTAAGAAAAGACTGGAAATATAATGATTGTAAGTCATGAACCAACACAAAATACTCACGACTATGAAGTTAAACGTGGCAAAAGAAATGTTTTAAACGTTTCCAAAATAATTAAAACTAAAAACGTTTTATAGAAAACTACAAAGTTGTACAAACTTTGTAGAGCCACCTTCTGCAGCACTTCCAGCATTCGGTCTTTTCAGGTCACTGCAGTTTCTGTCCTTCATGATCAAACCACGGCAGCTCCTTCAGGTTGGATGGATGCTACTTGTTGTGTCCAACCATCTTAAAATCACACCAGATACTCTCAGCTGTACTGTGGTCTGGGCTTTGACTGGACCATTCCATTGGGGTCATTGTCCTGCTGGATGATGAACCTCTGTCCAAGTCCCAAACTGCTTTCCACCAAGAAACTACATCTATTAACTCTGACCAGTTTCCTGGTTACAGATTTATTTAGTAAAACACCTCCCCACAGCATGATGCTTCCAAAGTGATCTTTCACTTATTGAATGGGGATACTCCCATCTCTGTAGATAAGCTGGTCAGCTCCAGCTGGGTTATCTTTGGCTTTTGCTTCTCTGACTCTTGCTCTTCTTTCCTTTAATCCCCCCCTTTGGAGTAGAGTGTTTAGGATTCTGGAGTATTTTTATACTCCGACCCTGATCTATATTTCTCCACGCTTGGTCTCTGACCTGTGTTCTTGGTCTTCACGTTGTCTCTTGCTTGGTGGTAGCTCTTACTGTTTTGAGGCGTTGCACTGGGGTTGATTCTGGGAGCTGTCCGAAAAAGTGTACGCAAACCAAGATCATCAAGTTCAAGAATCTTTATTATCCCCAAGGGGCAATTAATTTCACAGTCAGTAGAGATATAAAACATCCACACTAGACTAGACATTGAGAGATATTAAATGTTATTATTATTAAATATTGTTCATTCAGAAGCTTGATCACTACTGTAGATGAACAGATGCTGGGATATATTCATCATTTAACGCGGGTTCCTCATTTTTCTGGACTGAATAAAACGTGCATTGAATTTAAGGAAATGCAAACGTGAGACGTCATTTAGATTTGACCCATCAAAATGAATGCGGTCATTTATTTACAGAATCAAATTTAACATCAAACATGTACATTAATTTGGCAAATTATGAAAATAACAATATAAGCAATCAATCAGAAAAATCATACGGCCATGATTTTTCCGTTGCTGCACCAAAGACATTTATAAAACTGTACAACTATGATCTTTTACCCACACGGATGTGAATAAGCACTTTACACAGACATTTCTAAATATCTGGGAGAATTTCTACTTGATAGAAAGTTAAAGATGAAAGAAGTTAAAGGGAGTAAGATTGAATGGGAAGGGAGGAATGTTCACCAGAACCGACACTCTCCATCAGAAGCCCAGCTCTCCTTCGGTACGCTTGGTAGGAAACTTGATCCATTACCTTTCTGAAGATTTATCAGCAGATATGGAATTCCGTTAACGCTACCTGTCCAGCGTCTCCTGATGGTCGCTGTAGCTCGTCAGAAGTAGTGGCTAGTGAAAGTTATAATCCCATGGAACTCGGAAGAGCCTTTTGTCATGTCAAGATCATCCCGTCTCTAACAGAACTTGAGCAGAACCAGCAGAAAACTCTCCAGCACTCCAGCAACTTCAGAACTCCAGAACTCTAGAAGTCTGACAACTCTCCAACTCTGTGCTTCTGTGTAGACCAGGAAGTACTGACATTTTAAAGACTCTTTCCCGGTTCACTTTTTGGGATTTTTCATTGGTCAGAAACGACCAGACGGGGTGGGTTTTGTGACGTAAGAGGTTAGAGACAGCGAGAATTGTTATGGGACAGCTCAGAAATGTTCTCACAGACCGAGAGGGTTTTGTTTTGGCGTGTTTCAGGAAACAGGTGCAAAACATCTCTACTTACGTCTGAGAGGATTCTAAAACATGACAGTTTTAACATAACAACTTGTTTTTCGTTTGACTGTAACCTTGTAAACGCACACACTTGCTCATTCAAAAGCAGAAATCAGAAAAATGCATAATTACTCTGCAACAGCTTTTAACATGAGAATAAAAATCATTACTCAGTTAATAAAATTGATTAGTTCACTGCAACATCTAAAATGGTTTGAACTAAGACACTTTGATTATCAACATTTGTAAGATAGTAATGATAATAAAAAGAGAGTGTTCTTTTCACTTGAATCTTCAAGAAAGAAAGTCTCAGGATGGGTGAACCTGTATTTATGGATTCAAATACATGAAATGACAGCTTCTGTCCCACAAGGTTCTTAAGGTCAAGAGTTTTGACCTTAGACTTAGTTTCGACGTAGGCCTAGTCCACTACACTACAGGGATGAATGAGTTTTTCAGTCTGTTCGTTCTACAAATGGGCAGCAGAGACCTGAACTCACCATGGAGTGGTGATCAGGATCTGCCAGAATCTGCCTGGCCTTGTTCACTGACCTCACCTTGTGTAGGTCAGTGAGGTTCTGTAGGACTATGCCTGCAGTTCTGCTGCACATCCTGACATTCAATTGCCACATCTGATAATGAGATTGCTCACAGGTGCACCTTCTTTGACTAATGATGTGGCTTCTGAGGGCAATGATGGGGGCGAATTCATTTCCACACACCACTTCTCAGTTTAATATTTTTAGAATTGTTAAAACACTTTTTCTCCTCTTTAACTCCATTAAACTAGAGTATTTTGTGTGGGAGAACTTTTACAACCCACTCCCTTATGAGTATCGAGTCACTTACAGCAGAATTTTCTCAGCATTGCACCGTTCCACTTGGTCCTGATAGGTTTACACACCTGCCTCTCCTCTTCTGTTAGTTTTAAATGTGTGTTTGGTGCCTTCATGTTCTGCTGGCTTGATATTCTGGTACTGATGTCTCAGATCAGGGAGTTGGAGCCTCTGCTGTGTCAGCCAGGTCACACGTCCAGGCTGATATGGACTTCATCAAGTAATGCTCGTCGCTCAGCCTTCAGCATCGACGACATTCAGCACACAGCTGGGAAGGAGCCTTACAGCTCCTCTAAATACGCTTCAGATATGCTCAGCCTGGCACTAAACAAACATAAGAACCACCAGGTTTGTCTGACACACATATGGGGGGGGGGGGGGGGGGTAATACTTTGATATAAATGTCACTTAATGCTTTAACTCTTGTATTATTGAAAGTTACACATTAAAACAACTGTTTCTGGTACAGGGGCTGTTCTCCTCTGTGATCTGCCCAGGTCTCGTGATGACTAATCTGACTTATGGGATCCTCCCCCCTTTCTTCTGGACTCTTATCATGCCCATCATGTGGCTGGTGAGTTTAAATATATTTATTGTGTTAAACTCTGTATTTAACAAGATTTAACTTGTATAACGACCGTCTTTTCTCTCATAACAGATCCGGATTTTCACCAACACGTTTACGATTACGCCTTACAACGGAGCAGAGGCGCTTGTACGTTGCCAGCTTGAATGATTGCTCGCTGCTTAAAGACAAAAACAAATGATAAAGGCTTTGCATGTCTGTTAGCAAAATGTCTCGTGAACCACTTGGCAGATTCTAATGAAACTTTCAGAAACCAATCATATCTAGATTGATTAACTTGTGCAGCCAACTCAATCCAGCATGGCCGTCACATAAATATGACCTTACAAATCACAAAAATGGCTTTGAGTCATTTTTACAGATAATTAGCTGAACTGTAGTTAAATGCATTCTTTCAGGGAATGACAGGCCTTTCATTTTTCATATGACAACTTCTATGAAAAATGAAAACATTTGTATATTTGATTTTTTGTTTTGTTCTTAGCATTGGTTGTTTCTTCAAAAGCCAGAGTGTCTGGATCAAAGAGCGAAATATCACAGTTTAACATCAGGGTTTGGGACTAACTACACAGAGCCACGTCAGGTGAGTAACTCAAAATATTAGTTTAGTTTTAACCTTGTAATAGTTACAGCTTTGAGAAATAGTAAAGCACCAAATACTCCATCAGTAGGGGCTGAATAGACTACTGTATTTTCTGCCCGACACGTCGCTCCGCCCTAGAAGTTGCATCAGTCTAAAAAAGTGGAAAAATACATAAATATGTTGCTTCGCTGTATACGTCGCATCTATTATGCCTCACTGCTGACGCCTTGCATTTGTTACGCGTCACCGCTGACAACCTGGAAATGTGGGCCGGTGTTGTGCTAAAAATCAATGGGTTGCCAAATGGCGGGCATGTGCACAGGAGGACTTTAACAAGAATTTAACAAGATTAACACTTAAAAACATTTATTTGCTAGAAATTATAGCAAAGGTGTGTCTCAGTTGAACTTTTACTTAATAAATGCACTTTAATGGTCAAATTAGCTGCATTTTGCCGGGGCAGTGCAGCTGGTTTGACGGTTCCAAGCAGCGAGCAGAATGACGGTGGTGGAATATGGCAAGCCAATTGAGTCATTAATATCGGGTGAAAATTTTCAGTCATCCAGGACATGGTAAATTCAAAAGAGTTCAAGAAAAACACAATAAAGTATAATAAATTAAGTCCAGTTGTTTTTGTATTGAACTTTTTTGAATTTGTCATTATAGCCACGTTTACCTATTACATGATACAACGGCATGCCGTACTGCTGCTGCTACTACTACTCCGCTGCCATCTAGTGGCTGAAAATGGTACTGCTCTTTTTTTTTCTAGTCAGAATGAATGAAAACAACATATCTCAGCCAAAAATTGGTTTATAAATATGGGGGCGAAATCCATAAATATGTTGCTTCGGCCTATAAGTTGCAGGACATGCAAATTATGCAAAAAAACTGCGACTTATAGGCCGAAAAGTACGATAATCGACTTGTCGATTCAATTGGCATTTTGCGAGTTTTTAAATTTTACGTCAGTTAGTCGCAGTCAGTGGGTGTCACGTGTCACATGATCATCTGGTCCGCTGGCTACAAAACAGATTCTTCCAAGCAGGTGGAAGACGAGGAGCAGGCAAAGTCTTCCCAAACAGGTAGAAATTCATCAACAGTGTCGGAAGTATTTCACTAAAGATTATGCTGTTAGTGTTTTTAGTTTCATTTTATTTAATTCCCAGTGGAATCCACTGCTGTCCGCACCGCTGTTTTTAGTTTCATTTTGTTTTATGCGCTCCACCAGCGAATCCAACACCGCGCACCCCACTGTGTGTGTATTAGTTGCTGTACATGCCGCCGCTGGTGGATAGTTTTTATTTTTATTTTATTTAATCCACTAAATAAAATAAAAACAGGTACGCACCACTGGAGATTCCAGCGCACATTACCCATGGTGTGTACCGCGCACCACCACCGGTGGAACTTTTACTTAATAAATGCACTTCAGTGGTCAAATTAGCTGCATTTCACCAGGGCGGTGCAGCGAAATGAAGCTGATTTAACGGTTGCTCCAGGCGAGCTGGACGAAGGTGGAAGTCTATGGGAAGCCGATTGTGTCATTAATAGTCGCTTTTGCCTATTACATGGTACAATGGCATACCATACTGCTCAGTTGCATCTAGCAGCTGACAATGGTAGTGTTCAATATTTTCAGTCAGAATGAATCGAAACGGTCGCATCTCAGCCAAAAATTAGTTTATGAATATGGTTAAAAAAAATCATAAATAAGTTGCTTCGATGTATAAGTCGCAGGGCATGCAAATTATGCAAAAAAATAACTTTTAGCCCCCCAAAAATGGTAGTTACTTGTTTGTTGTTTTTGGTGCTGTTTATAACTAAAATAGTCAGTTTGGGACTGTAAAAACACAGGAAGGAGTAGTTTGTAAATGTTAAAGTTTGATCTGTTCTGTTTCATGAAGCTAATCAGATTTGACTGTTGTGTTTCAGATGGACATCGATGATGAAATGTCCGAGGCCTTCTATTCAAAACTTCTCGAACTTGAGAAAACTGTCAGAAGCAAAGAGAGTGAGAGAAATGTGTGTAGCTAAGTCACTACATCAAAAAATAAAATCGCTTATTTGGATGCCAAAAGTTACCTTTTTTTAAGAGATTTTATTTGTTTTTTGTGTAATTTTAAACTTCACCACAACTTTTCCATGTACCTTTTTTTCCAGTTACAAGCACAAACCTTTAACGTATAACCCCAAAATAAAAACATGTCAAAACTAAAGTTAATAAAAATATTGGAATAACAATGGGGATGTTGAGGAGATATATTGTACATATTTAAAATGAACAAATGGATCAGTTAGGAGTTAAGACAGTTTGTAACATTTTTACAGTTCAAATAAAGGACATGGCTGCAAACAATGAAAAGTAAAAGAAAAAAGCTCTTTGTTAACCTATGTTAGATTAATTTAAAATGTTCTATTAAAAAAAGCTCAGGTCACTAAATTATTTGAATGACTTGGTTTTACTTATTATCTTATTATCTCAGTCGTCCCAGCTGAAAGACAAAAAGCATTTTATTAAACCAGTTGCTAAAAGAGGTCAACGTAGATTTCTGAAAACAATCAGTCTTCGGGCCTTTAATGAGGCCGTAGCTCTAGATTGAAGTGGTGAAACATCCCCTGCCTCTGACGGTGTTATTTATTGTTCGCATATGTGTGAGAGGGCCTCATTACCAGCATTGTTTGCAAGGTAAAGAGTTCAGGGCTATTCAACAGGCGGCCTGAGGGCCACTTCCAGCCTGCGGGTGACTTCAGTCAGTCAGATTCTTTATTGTCATTCGCACCTCATGTGGTACATGTGGTGGAGCGAAATTATGTACACGGGGTCCCAGTTACATCCAACAATAAAATGTAAAAGAAAAACAGTAATAACATCTAAGATGTGAACTAAGAAAAACATCAACTAAATATACACTAAGCACTCATAACATAAAACATTGAACATCAGCACAAACATGAACATGAGTCTGTGAGCAGATGTCCAGCCCTACAATGAGTTTCATTAAAAATAATAATAATTTAAAAAGAAATAACTAAATAAAAAAAATTATATATATATATATATAATTTTTTTATTTAGTTATTTTTATATATGGATGGTTGGATGGATAGATAGAGATGGATATATATAGATATAGAGATAGATATAGAGATATGTATAGATATATATATATATGTGTGTGTGTGAATTGTTCTTGTTTTGGGTTCTGTTTATTGCATTTATGATTCAATGCAACAAAATAAACTAGTTTAAAAGGTAACAGATCATTATAATACTTGGTTTATTTACATAATGACTTTAATTGCTGAATGTCCGGCCCCTGAGCTGCTGGCTTTCAGAAACCGTGGCCCCCTGAGTAGTTTACTGGAGAGCCCTGCACTAGTTTATCCACCATGAAGGATATTAGTTAGTTTAGAAATTATTTGTTGATTCTCTTATTTTCACCAAAAAAAAAAAAAAAAAGAATGGGTGGGTGGGAATCAGCACTAGCCTTGTAATCCTGATTCTACTGGTTCACAGAGGGCTGAGTGATACTAGCAATCACAGCATTGTAAGAGGGGGACAGTTGAACCCGGAGGCCTCCACCCCTGTTTAATGATGGACGATTTCTTTTCACAAAGATGGCCTCCTTTACTCCTCTCTCAAACCATCGTTCCTCTCTGTCCAGGATGTGAACATCTTCATCCCTGAAAGAGTGACCGCTGGCCTGGAGATGAGTGTAGACCGCAGAGTCCTGGCCTGATGATGTTGATCTTCTGTGCTGGGCCATCCTTTTGGCCAGTGGCTGTTTAGTTTCCCCGATGTAAGACTGATCACCCTCCTGACACTGAACAGCATACACAACATTACTCTGTTTGTGCCGGGGGACTGGATCTTTGGGATGAACCAGTCTTTGCCGTAATGTATTTTGGGGTTTAAAAGCCACTGGGACGTTATGTTTAGAAAATAAACGTCTCAGTTTCTCTGATACTCCCTCAACATATGGAATGACCACTGGTCTGGGTCTGGGTTCCTCCTTTTCACCTGTTGGCTGACTGGAGTCCTGTTTGGGTTTCTTCTCTGCTTTCAGGAAGGCCCAGTTAGGATATCCACATTGCTCTAGAGCCTGTCTTGTGTGGGATTTCTCCTTCTGCCTGGCTCCTGAGCTAGTGGGGACGCTGTCTGCTCTGTGGTACAGAGTCCTGATGACTCCTAACTTGTGCTCCAAAGGGTGATGGGAGTCAAACTGCAAATGCTGGTCTGTGTGGGTGGGTTTGAGGTACACCTCGGTTGCAAAAGTCCTCTATCAGAGACTGAGACCTCACAGTCCAAGAAAGCCAACCTGCCATTTTTTACATCTTCTCGTGTGAACTTGATGTATTTATCCACAGAGTTGATGTGGTCAGTAAAATGTTGGACTTCCTGAGATTTGATTTTAACCCAGGTGTCGTCAACATACCTGAACCAATGACTTGGAGGTGTCCCTGAAAAGGACGTCAAGGCTCTCTTTTCTACCTCCTCCATGTACAGGTTGGCAACAATAGGAGAAACTGGAGACCCCATAGCACACCCATGTTTCTGCCTATAATATTGCTCCCCATATGTGAAGTAGGTTGACTGCAGGCACAGTTTCAAGAGTTGATGACTGTGAGGTCTCAGTTTCTGATGGAGGACATTTGCAAAGAGTGATGTGACATTAAAAGAGACCATTGTTTCATCAGTCTCCATGATGACATCCCTCACCTTATCATAAAGTGTATTTAAAGCTTGCTTCTGTTTTGCTGCTCTTTCCTTTTTTTAGCGAGCAAATGTGCAGAATTGTCTGTTTGGATCACAAAAGGTTGAGAACCTTAAACTCAGGATTAATGGCGGGAAATGAAAGTCGACGTGAGAAACGTAAATAAAAACACGCAGCCCTCCGCGTGCTCAGATCAGTGCGCGCGGCGCAATGTCCCGGATGCCGCTCGCACCGGAAGAGAAGGGGCAGCTCTCCCAGCCATTTTGTGGCAGCATCCAGCGAGTGGGTCGCATCAAGCCTCGTAGAATCGGAGGTGAATCCCGTTGAAGGGGCGCCATCATGCCCGGACACCTGCAGGAAGGCTTCGGCTGCGTCGTGACCAACAGGTTCGACCAGCTATTGGACGACGAGTCCGACCCGTTCGAGATCCTAAAAGCCGCTGAAAACAAGAAGAGGGAGGGGGCCGCCGCAGGCACCACCAAGACGGCGGCGCAAGCCGCCAAGCAGCCGAAGAAGGAGTCGCAGAAGGACCGAAAGAACCCGCTGCTGGACAAGAAGGAGGAAGCTCCTGCTCCGGTTCCGCTGAAGAAAGAAGGTAATGGCAGCTCCGCACCGAGCCCCGCTTCGTGCGTTATTTCTCGTCATGTGCGGCTCCTGCTAGCGGTTAGCTGCGGGTCGGCCCGTCCTCTTGTTGTGGAGCACCGGGTACACCTGATGTACCTGCAGGGGAGGTCCCGGGGGTCGCAGGTCGGTTCCGTCAGCACCAGAGGAGCGAGTTGGGTTCGAGCTTCTGATCACTGCAGGTCAACTTAAAGAACCAGCTGCTGTGAAGAAAACCATTAAACATCGTCTCTTGTTGCAGTAAATAAACCACCGGAGCTGCAAGCACGAACTGATCGATCCTCTGATCAGCATGGTTGCATGTGCCCCGTGCACGCGTGGGTTTCTTCACATGCATGTTAGGCACGTTGGTAACTATCAGGGCTGTCGGTTAGGGAGCCAAAATAATTAATTTTACACCAAAGGCCTTTTTCAGTCAGAGTCAGACAGCTGACATCTTTTCTTGGTTGTAGGTTCCTCAATGTGCGGCTCTGGAGCCACTCTGTGGTCCCTCTGCAGCAGCAGCTCTTTCAAGCTTTAACAACTCTCATAAAACTGAGTTTTATTGGTTGTTATACATCAACAGCAAAGCATTAGTTCAAACAACGGGTGCAAATGTCTGTGTCTGGTGATTTGATTCTGATTTTTGGTGTCGCGATTCAATTCCAAATCGATTTTCCATTCAGGAACAATTGTTCTATTGAAATGGTCATAAATTTTGTTTAAATTGTGTAATTGACGAGATGAAACGATTAAACAGCGATGTAAACAAATAGAACATTTATTTAAAACAATGATGATCTTTTTTTTTGCATAATTTTATATTTATACCAAAATCAGGAGCAAATACAGGAGTGCATAAAATGCTGTAACTTAAATTACCAGTATTTGCTTAGCTGCCTGGATTTTTCTAAAATAAAATAAAAAAACTAGGAACGCGTAATTCATCCATCCACCATCTTTTACCCACATCTTACTTTTCAAGTTGCGGGGGTCCCTGGTGCCCATGTCCAGCCATCACCGTGCGAGAGGCGGGGGACACCTGGACAGGTGTCCAGTCCATCACAGACAAATAATTCAAAATATAGAAATACAAAAGTAAACAAAGACTTCAGCCTACCATAGTATATTAACCTTTAACTCTTCATAAAATACAGACTTCACGGGTTTTTTTTTTACCATATTGCTCTAACATTTGTTATATTTTCAAAACTTCACCTAATATGAAATATACAGACTTCAGTCTTAACCATATTGATTCATGTTTAGTAAATATTAAACACAATTTTAAAACCTGTACAACTCTTCTGAACTGTAATTTATAAACTATCATTTAGAACTGGCTCCAGGTGATGTCTCATCTGGCCTCTTCAACCTGTTTAAAAGATAAATTGCATTAAGATTTTTGTATAACTTGTATAAGTTTTAGTAAAATATGAGAAAAACCGTTACCTTTTGAGGTGCAGCTGGTAGCATCACAGCTTCTACTTTATTCTTTGTTTCATGGTGGAGTTGTAGCGCTGCTTTATTGCTAAAAAAAAGCTACATGAAGGAATAACGTACGTTGGGTCCAACATATTAAAAATAAACTTAACTCACCTTCCACTGAGCTGTCTGCTCATAAGTGTTTGTGATACAGCAGGAAGTGGAGAGGGAAATCTTGACCGCTCTTGGAGAATTAGCTGGAAGTTTGTTGAGCTGGTCTGCTGCTTCGCTTTTCATCTGCCTTCTGCGCATTTGTCGCATTTCCAAAATCATGTACCGCAATTTTATTTTACACTTCTTGAAAACAACCGTGCTCTTGTCAAGCTCCTTCTTCCCCCGGAACATTGTAGGATCTGAAATGACTTAACGACGGAAGGAGCGGGTTGAATCGCGCTGTCCTGCTGCTCCATGCTAACGGACTCCGTTCAGATAAAGGGAGCTGGCTAACTAGCTTGCTGTACGGTGGCCTACAAGGCCCAATTCTACGGTGGCCGAGCAGATGCTTAATGCGATATGCAGTACGCTCGGGTGTAGGATAGAAATAATTCAACTTAAACGCATTTTTAATTGATTTATGGGCCTTTAGATTAATCAGTTTTTTTCTGCACCCCTAGTTCAGTTTTCCTGTCATTTCTTTTGCAAATATGTGAACGTTGGAGCGAGTACAAGGAGTAAAACATACTTTATCTCGATGCTTTATTTGAAGAACTGTTTGCATAGTTTATGGATTTTTTTAATTTAAAAAAAGGTAAAAACTGATATTTTTTTTTAACCCCTTTGCAAGAATCTGGTCTTTTTCTATAATAAATGTTAAAAATCATTAGGTATTTTTTTTTTTTGCTTTATAATGTCACCCCTACTGGCCACCTTCAGGAAACCTTAAGTGCTCGGCCACTAGTTGATGACCACAATTGTAGCTAGTTGTTGCGGCTCGGGACATGTTTAATGTAGTGAACACGGGTGTAAACACGGCTCTTTGAACGTAAAGGTTGCAGACCCCCGCTCAAGAGTTTCATTGGTCTCATCTGTCATTCTGGGATGCTTTTTCTGCTTTAAATTCAAAGATTACTGGGAGAAATAATAATAATTCTTCACTTCATAGTTATCCAACTGTCAGGAGAAGTCTGCACTAAATTATGTTTAGTTATTAAGTGACTTGAGAAGAAATAAATGTTTTAATTTAAAATATCTTCTTTGGGTCAGATAAGATGTTAACGAGGGCCATATTTGGTCCACGGGCCTCGAGTTTTGACACACATGCTCCAAGTTGTTCCTGTGTGTGAGTGAGAGTGAATGGTTGTTTGTCTCTGTGTCCCTGTGGACTGAAACCTGTCCACGCCAGTGTCCCTGGCCTCTCCCACAGTAACTGCTTGATGGAGGCACCAGTGACCCCCGTGACCCAAAAAGGAAGAAAAGATATATGGATGGATCTGAAAGCGAATCTGCAACCTTGCATTGCCCCCAAAATAAAATCTGAACTAAAATGTTGACTTTTGCCAGTATTTAGTTTTTTTAGGTCAAACACCAGAATCTACAGTAAGAGAGAAATCATTCTGTGTATCGGCCTCCTCAGTACGGCCACGCCTGCCTATAAGCTGTGCTTGTGTATAAAGCTGCCGGTGTTCACGTTGTGACATGAGATATTTAGTGTATTTTCCATAGTATAAGTCGCTCGACTATCAAGTTGCATCAGTCAAAAAAAAGCATCATGAAGAGGAAAAAAAAGCATAAGTCACATTTATTATGCATCACAGCTGACCCGTCATATTTATTATGTGTTTGTTTAATGGTCAAAACGGTGCCATCCATCCATCCATCACGGCTGGAGCCGCTAGTTCTCCAGCGTTCTTCTGCCTCCACCAGCTGAGCAAAGCATGTGCGCACAGGACTGGCTGTTGCAATTCTTATTTACACTTAAAAGCAATTATTTGTTTGCTCGACATTATAGCAGAGGTGTGTTTCAATTTATCTTTTACTTAATAAATGCACTTTAATAGTCAAAACGTCTTCATTTCGCCTGGGCGGCGCAATCCATCTATGCTCTCCAGCGTTCCTCTGTTTGCACCAGCTGAGTGAAGCGAGCGCACACGGGACGACTCGGGCTGCAACTAACGATCATTTCAATAATCGATTAATAGGGGGATTCATTTTTCAGTAAATCGGGGGGGGGAAAGAAGTTTTAATTACCACCTCTTTATTCCAAAATTTGACTGACAGCAAATCGCACAAAAAACATGTTGCTACTTGAATATTCTGTTAGTAAAATATTGAACAATAAAAAATAGTTTGTCAAAATAGCTTCTATTTAAAAAAAAAAGTGTGCACAAAAATATATACAAATGTATTCTTTATACCTGCACAATATGTACCTGCACAATATGTAGCTACTTTGTAAAATGTGTCCTTGAGGGAAGAGTGTAACCTGGATTAAAAGTGTGGATTATTGTAACTAGGGATGGGGCCGATCCAGTATCTGTATCGGCCTCCGATACCAGCATAATTTACATATCAGATATTTCCGATCCATGATGCATGTTGGCTTCAAACGATGGAATGGATTTCCCGAACGGCGGCGTGTCTCATGAACCCAGAGTAATAAGACCCGCCTCACATTCAGGAAATCCAGTTCATAGCCATAGCATCACATTAAACCACGTTAAAGTTAGTTTTACGTTGGACATTCGAGCTCCGTGGCTTCAGCGGGGCGCTGCTCTTTGCACAACCGGAAAGAGGCGACTCGACCCCGGCCAGCCGAGTCCAATCTGCCCCGCTCAGTCTGCCCGTCTCTGAGGAGGGACAGACTGAGCGCAGCTGACCCAAATCAGACTGCCTGCTTCGGATTGAACAAGAAGAAGACGCCGCTGAAACCACGGAGCTCAAATGTTTTACAGAGAAGTTGCTAAACTTCATCATAATTAATGACCAACCACTATCAGTTGTAGAAAACAAAAGATTTTACAGCTTGATACTTGCAGCCAAGATATAGTTTACCCTCCAGGAGATATTTGTCAGTACAACAGTAAACAATCATAAAAAACATATGATTTGAAATTTATATTAAAAACAAAAACAGCTACATTATAAAGTGATGTAAAATAATAAAAACAGGAACATTTCTGTTGGTTTATGCCAGATGTTCTTCAAAATTTAAAGAGTCAGTCAAAAATTGCGTTATAAATATTGGAGGGGAAAAAAAACTTGTATAAGTCGCTTCAGTGTCGAGTCGCAGGACTGACAAATCTATGCAAAAAAACTGCAACTTATACGCCGCAAAATATGGTACATAGAAAGATGTTGCACAGAGAGGTTTTATTTTATTTTATTTTTTTTTACTTTTAATTAAATATTTACCGGTAACATAAACAAATATGTACAGTAAATATTTTTTTCTGAACAATGTTTTTAAAACGGCTCATTTTAAAAAGAAAACAAAAATCAGTTGCTTACCAGGAAAAGTCACTGATCGCTATCTTCATCTTCCTCCTGTGCACTAAAACGACTGAAGTCTTCTTCGGTGTCAGAATTGAACAGCCTCAGAGAAACGTCATCACACACATCCTCAAGGCTCGCACAGACTCGAGCAGTCCTCAGTCCGCACGGAAACTGTGCACTGTCTGCAGTGGGTTTGGACTTCATGCTCGAGCATACACCCTGAGCGGCTGCAGACCAGCTCCGCAGGCAAGGGGCGTTTACCTTTGGGACAAATTGAGGTCACCAATTGGTCATTTGCTGACATGCCTACTGGATTGATTGACAGGTTGACAAATAAAGGGGAAAAAAACTGGCAGCCGCAGCGGTGTTCTGTGTTTATATGTTGTTAATAAAAGGTTTATTTAATTTTTTTTTTTTTTTTTATGGAGTGCTGGCCCTGCAACCCACACATCAGACCAGCCCACCAGGAAATCTCCAGACCCTCCTGCAGCCATGCTGGACCTGATTTTAATTCGCTCGTGGCAAATTCCTTAATTTCTCACAATTTCAATCATGGCGTCAACTGTTGAGGAGAAAGAGATCACTGCCTTTTGGCAAAAATCTAAAGAAAAGGCCAGATCAGGGATGAACAAGGGGAATTTAAGACATTTGTGTCTCATACAAAACAGTCTGTTGCCGGGCAGTTTATTGTGCGACACAGAGTGCACGTACGTGGTCGTAAAAATTGAGCTTTGCGTGGACATGCCCTGCGGGTGTCTGCTTTGACTCTATCTGGTACGCGTGGACCTCTGCGGACTGACGTACGCTCGAGTCTGTGTGAGCCTTCAGTCTTTCATTGTCGTAAAAAAATACAGTAGCCTACCAGGAAGTCATTGATCGCTATCTTCATATTCCTCCTGCTGCCAGATTGTGCTCCATGCAGGGGAGTCGTCCCCCCCAACATGCTCTGCACATGGGGGATTCCTCTCCTCCCCTCCCCTTTTAATTGGTTCAACTGTGACCTGTTCAGTAATTACTAGGGGTGCACCGATTTCAATTTTCAGGCCGATCACCGATTTTTTGAAAGTCTGAACTGCCGATTCCGATTTTGGCCGATACCGATTTTTTTTTTATAAGCAACAGTGTCAGGTGTTACAAGATCACAATGCACCTTCAATTTACCAATCTTATTTTATTGTAAAACATACCCTTGAAAAATACCCTAGAAACAATACAAACTTGTTGTTTTAACTTGTCATGAGGTAGTATTCTGAAATATAAATGAAGTTTACACAATTTTTGTTAAAACTATAAAATTAACTAAAAAAAAATGTTCAGTTCCTTCAACTCTTTCACTTGTTACATTTAAAAAAAAAAAAAAGATAATGCAACAAGTGTAACATTTTCAAGTCAGTGGGTAATAAGAACTAACACTGGTAAGTTAGTTCTCACAGACTTATTCCAGTCACTTTCATTAGTGGCAGGTTTTTCTTGATGAACAAAAGCATTTCTGCTTTGTCACCAGACAGGCGACTTCTTTTCTCATCTACTACATGTCCAGCCAAGCTAAACAGGCGCTCGCTTTCAACGCTTGTGCATGGGGCATAGAGATAGGTTCGGGCAAGTAGAGCAAGATGAGGGAAACGATTTTCATTGATCTTCCAGTAGACCAATGGGTCCTGGCTCCTTTCGACAGGAACCTCAGATAGGTAGTTCTGTACCTGCATAGCTGAAGGGCTGGCCAGCTGTTGCTCCTGTTCAATGTTCTCCTTCAAGATTTCGTCGTGAGCTGCAAACAGTAGACTACGCCTTTTGGCTGCAGGTTCATCGATATCAGGAGGTCCCACTTCAGAGGATGTTCCTGCAGCAGGTGTGCATCTGGTCTCCCCCTCTGCAAGTTTGGTCAAAAGGAGCAGTTTCACGTCATCTTTCACCTCTGCTGAGAAGTAGCGATTCTTGTACCTTGTTTTGCATAAACAAAGAAAGATGGGTCAATCATTGTGTTTTGTATACATTAACAGTTTTTATGACTTGCATGTAAATAAAGAAATGCATTTCAATCAATACATTTTTATTTTTAATTTAATTTAAATGTTTGTTGAAATATAGTAGTAGGCTAAAAGTCATTATGGCTAAAATAGAATGTTAATAGTTACTTGCCTTGGATCCAGAACAGTGGCCAAGCTGTACAGGGGCTCATGCTCAATGTTGCTGAATCTTCTCACAACAGCCTCCAGCAACGTAGCTTTGGCTGTACCCACGCCACGGTCTGTGCTCGCTTGCCTCTCCAAAATCCGCTTGAGTGCAGTGATGGCTGGGATGACATCTGCTGCTGTAGCTGTTGATGAGCTAATCTCCTTTGTGAGTTCCTCAAAAGGTGCAAGAATGGTGAGCACATTGTCCAGTAGCTCCCACTGGTGTGCTGTGAGTGTGGCTGGTAACTCATGCTCAGCAGCATACACGCCAATAGCACGTCTCTGCTCCAACAGCGACTGCAGCATGTAGACTGTGCTGTTCCACCTCGTTGAAACGTCTTGCTGTAATCGTTTCCTGGGTTGACCTAACTGTGTCTGTATGTCATAAAGTCGGGAATAGGCAAGTGATGAATGCTTAAAATGTCCAACAATTCTCCTTCCTGTTGCCACCATGTCTGTGATGCTGCGCTGCGCCAGCTGTCCCTCATTTACAACCAGTTGCAGTGTGTGTGCCAGGCAGGGTAAACTTTTCAGGTTGATATCATCCAGCGCTTTGGCCATATTACGAGCATTATCCCGTAAAACAACGTGAACTCTTCCATTATCGATTTCCCAGTGATTCAGCATCGCCTTAAACTCTGCTGATAAATTGGCCGCAGTGTGAGACACCACCATTTCTTTACAGTTTAAGAGCACTTGATGACGTTCGAACTGTTCGTCAATCCACTGTGCAGTAAAACTTAACATGGACATTAAACTTACATCAGAAGTCCAGATGTCTGTTGTAAAGCTGAGTGTATTTGTATTAGCTTTTAGCAGGCTGCGGGTGTCTCTCGAAACTTGGCTGAACAACTCCGGTAATGCAACATCAGAAAAATATTTCCGACTCGGCATATTATATCGTGGGCACACGTGCTGCATCAAGCTTCTAAAACCTTTGTCCTCAATGACTGAAAATGGCTGGTCGTCTAATGCCATGAACTCCATCACTTTCCTCGTGGTAGCTTTGCTCTTTTCGTTGCTCATAAAAGCTAACAGCGACCCACCGACTGCCTCTTTGTTAGCGCTAGCTTTAGCATTAGCCTTAGCTTGGTTGCTCTCTTCAAACATTGCATACTTGGCGGCGTGGTGATTTCTTAAATGGCGAACGAGGTTTGTTGTATTAAAGGTTTTGGTGGTGGCTCCACCACGACTTACTTCGGCTTTACACGAATTGCAAATTGCGATCTTTGGCTCATTTTCTTTTACAGCGTAGAACTTCCAAACCGACGACATGGCTGCTCCGAGTGACCTGTGTGTGAGCTCTCACAGTGGAGCAAAAGGGGACAGCAGCTGATTTTCAGACCTTTCCGGAGGCAGATAAGATCGGTGGATAAAATCGGCTTCTCATTTAAAGATCGGCCGATCGCCGATCTCCCCAAATTAAGGAAATCGGGGCCGATCGATCGGCCGGCCGATTTATCGGTGCACCCCTAGTAATTACTTTGGTCAGATTTTTATTTTTACCTTTTTATTTATGCATGTAGTCTCATTGAATCACGAGGACCCCGCCCCCAAGAGTGACATGCATTGGGCAGCTATGTCAGTGCTCGGGTGTGACGAAGCATAATGTTTTGGCAGCAGGAAGCTCATTAGCCCATTAAAAAAAAAAAATCCATAAATTAGCCAAAGTGTTGTTTAAGCTGCGGGGTTCAAAGTCTGCAGGGAAAAAGTTGCTGCTTATAGACCAAAAATTATGGTAATACTTTTTACATACAAAGTGCAGGCAGGGTTGTGGCAACCGCAGCAGTAAACATAATATAAATCTGCCCGTTGAAATGGAACAGAATTTACTGTCATGGCAGCGTCCTCACAATCTGTGGTCCGTTTGGGCTTTGCAGGTATCAGACGAGTGGGCAGGAGACCAGACCAGCAGGGTCAGTCTGGATCCCAACATCAAGGTGGACAAGGTGAAGGGCGACCTGGAGACAAGAGGCCTGACCGCCGACCTCCTCGTGAACGCCGTTTTGAGAAGCCTGCTGAGGAAAGGCCTGAGGGAAGTGCAGAGTTCCCTGCAGACAAGTGAGTAGAATGAGACGTTGGTCCAAGAAGGGCTGGGTATCGTTCAAAAATGTTGTAGATCGGTACCTTCACTTCCATATCTGTTCCTGAATGGTACTTTTTTCGGTACCAATTTTATAATTATTAATTCTAACAAGAATAAAATGATGTTACACGTTACAGTACAAATCATGAGTTTGGTTTTTTAACTTTGGTATTTTTCTATTCCAAGCTGTTTTCTTACATGAAAATAAATAATGTCCAAGTGAAAAGAAAAGTTTCAAACCAGTGACACGTCAGTGTCTAATGTTCACTGCTACACACTGAGGACCTTTTCACTTAACAGTTGTTCTTCAGAAACATGTCTGCTTTCTCTGGACACAAACAAGCCCACTCCTGGCTGATGGTGTCTCCAGCAGTAGGAAGTGTTCACTCTGAGGCTGTAGATGATGATTGTTGCACACACAGATACCTGGTTGTCAGTTTGACAGCACTGACATATTGTCCCTCACATTCCACCAGCAGGTCACTGGATTCACTGAGGTTAGAGTTGATGCAGACATCTGCACCTCTGTGTGTCTGCCTGAATCTTCTCTGTGGTTCTCTGGGGTTTAGGGCTCTGATCATCTCCCTAATTGACATGAGAACAAAACATCAACAATAACATGGTTGTATTATTATTGATCAAAAAACATTATTTAGGCTGAGAAATAAAGGTTTAACTGGTCAACAATATATTTTACAGCTTAACTTACCTCCAACATGCAGCCTCCACTGTAGAAAAAGGCAGCAAACTTTTAACAACAAAGTTTGTGACTGTCCTGTGGCCCCCACCTCACTCTTCTTTTGTCTGTGCTCCTCACATCAGGGTCAGAGGCTCCTGTGAAGAGAAACGGTGAACATTAGTTGAACTGTTTAACCAGCTGACCTGATGGATGATCACATTTTTACAAGCTAAGCTTTATCTGTTACTGTCAGTCTTTAGTTAGCTTCTGATTTAGCTAGCTACAGAGCATAAAGCTACACACTAATATCTTAAAGTTAGCGTTACATGTATCCTACTTTAATTCACCGCTGCTTGTATTAAGTTGCAGTAACGTTAACAAACGTAAACTTTCCAGCTGAAATCCCAGACACAGCTCCGTCCTCGGAGTTCTTTGATGAAGAGGAGTCCGGTTGTGGAGATAATGAATCAGGCCGTTCAACACTCACAGGCTGACTTTAACGCTGAGAGGAGGGGGGGAGGCTGCGGTCCCCTTTGAAGACAAACATGGAGCAACTTTCCGCTCATAAATTGAAGCCGTTCAAACAAAACAAGCGTTGCACACATGAACCCCGTCTGTGGGCGGAACCAGCACCATAGACATACAGCACTGGGTGTAAACACGTAGTCTGTTTGTCATATGTCTGGTGTTTTACCTGCCTGCGTGCTGAAACCACGTGACACGTTACATCCAATACCGAAACTTGACACCGAAAGAAGAGTGACGCTTCAATCCATACACTCGGTCGGTGCTATAAAAGAACCTCTGTTCAGTATACAGTCCTACACGGACGTGTTTGTCCTGCGTTGCAAGTTGCTGCACTGGCATTGTCTGTAACGTTACACGTGGTTGAAACCACGTGTAATGTTACAGCCGATCACTGAAACTTGACACCGAAAGACGAGGCATTTTTTGATACATATACCGACAGAAGCAGTTCGGTCAGTACCTTAAAAGAACCAAAGTTCGGTACTCAGCCTTAGGTCCAAGTCTAAGAGGTCACAGAACCGGTTAAAAGTGTAGCCACATCTAGTTTGATTGGTAGTTTCACTCTGTGGAAATAATGACAGTTTATTTGGGAAAAGTTTTATATCTGACTTAATTTGAAACGTTTATTCTGTAGCTTCCTCACTTTTATTAAGAGTTAATGTGATGCAAAGTTTAAAAGTTTAACTTCTCAAATTTTCCCCAAACAATCAGCAACTCTTCTGAGCATTTATTCAGGATTCCTCTGAGTGTGTCCTTAAATTCTTGACAATGTAAGATAAAGACATTTCATGTAAAATATTGATACAATTTTAAACTTTGCTTTTGATAATCAGCTTTTTTAGTTTGTTTGTTTGTTTGTTTTTTTTACACAAAAGCAGACTTTTTGATCGATTATGCAAAACCTTTTACATCATGTGAACAGCTAAGTCTAAGCTCACTTTGTGCTGAAATTGTTTTTGTCCAGCAGGCCTTCTGCAGACAGGCCCCCGAGAGGGCGTGGTGGCGGCCGAGGGGGGCGTGGTGGAAGAGGACGAGGCATGGGCAGAGGAGACGGCTTTGACTCCCGCGGGAAACGAGACTTTGATAGACACAGCAGCAACGACAAATCGTGAGTGATCGAAGAACATCTCTACTCTGTAAGCTGAACGCAAAGTAAGATTTTACACGGGACTGCTCTGATGTCTGTATTTCAGTTAACTTACCAACTTATGTACAAGACTAGTTTTGTCCCCCCCCCCCCCAAAAAAAAATCAAAAATCAAAAAAAATTTATTTTAATTCGTATTGATTTTAACTTAATTTTTTTAATATGATGTAATATAATGTTTGGAAAAAACAGGCTTGCAAACAAAAGTACAAAACAAATGTTCAGAGTGCCAACTTCTGCCTAAAATAGAATGAAGCTTTGATAAATTGTGCGTGAATAGCCTGAATATTTGACATGTTTAAGAGCATGCACAGATGACTGCTCGTGGTCTGTCACTCCATCTGTCTATAGCTGACTTCCAGCAGTCGCTTTCCTGATATAGTGAACAGAAAGACGACGAGACATTAGAACCTGACCAATATGGACATTTTAGCTATCGCCTATGCTGATATTGGGTGTGTTGTTTTATTTAATGTATATGAATGTGTTTGTTCAGTGCCCTGAGATGGCTTCTGTTGTGACTTGGCACTATATAAATAAACTGAATTGAATTGAGGGCGAAACAGCTGATAACCGATAAACTGACTGACAATTTTTGGGCTTTGTTCACCTCAAGAATCTTAAGTAAACAGCTACTTTTAAACCTGTTTTAACACTTGGAAGTCTTGAAACAGACCCTAACGTGCGTTCACATTTTCTGTCCTCCACTATCTACCATAAAGTTATCAAATGTGTTACAAAAATATAAATTTAACAACGAAACACCCTTCCCCGTTCACTGTTTAGTCAGTCATGTATGGTGAAGGCCTAATTAGTATTGACCTCAGCAGCGTTTTTTTTTTTTTTTTTTTTGGTTTGTTTTGATTTTTGCAGAGAAGTAATGATTTCAGACAAACGATGCATTTCATTGAGAACAGCAAAGATAACGTTAACACTGGTATGTTTTACCTGTAAGTTAGATTTATTGTTTTAGATGACGTTTAACAAGACAAAAGCCTATTCTAGGATATCTAAACGTTAGCTTGCTAACTTGAGGCACGTAGCTAATGACAAGCGGGTTGGAGGATTGAAGAGAATGTATTATTGTTCATTTATTTTACAGATCAATTAAAATAAACTTTCCATGCTCTGTTCAGCAAAATATGCTACATAGTTGCTCCCTGCTTCGGCTGCCCTGAAAGTGAAACCTAAGTGAACGGCGTTGACTTGAAAGTGGTCTTCATGCGCCCTCTGCTGGATACATTGTACATTTACGGCTTGTTCCCAGCATTTTAGGGCTGAAAATCAGAGAAGTGCTTATATCGGCCAATAATGGAACAATTATCACCAATATCGTTCCCCAAAGGCCCGTGTCAGCCTAAATTATCAGCTCTACCAATATATTGGTCAGGTTCTGCTCTACAAGACATTAAGCTCTTTTCTTTTTTTTAATAATTTTACTAAAAATACTGTTTCTTAAAACAGTGCGTGGGTCTTGGAACACCACGCTCTGTTATTCTTATATGACAAGGTTTCCTTGTTGGAAAGGAAAACTTGTCAAACTACTGAACAGAAGAGAAGTTGTTTTTTTATTTAGTTTTTGGTGAATTTAGTTAGATCTAGGGCTGGATGATATGGCCAAAACTTTTATCACGATATATTTCTTAATTTCGGTCGATATCGATATAAACAATATAAAAGCCTCAGGAAAAACTACAAACTATACAAAAAAATTAATGTTCACCTTTTATTTGTATTTAGCCTTCAAAAAAATTGAAATCACTGTCAAATAAACATTAAATTCTCAACTTTGTCAATATTAATAGTTTTAGCTTTAAACAACAACTTTACAATTGACAGCATTGAAATTCGTTGTTAATGAAATAAAATTTTTGGGTCTCGTTATTGATGAGAAGCTGACGTGGAAATCTCATATAAAATACTAAAAAATAACAATCAATTGCATTACTGTATAAAGTAAAATAGTTTTTGAATGACAAAGCTTTGTATAATGTAATGATTGTTCCATATTTATTCTATTGTAATGAAGTTTGGGGAAAAGCAAAACAATTACAAACCCTATTTCTATTTTATACAAAAAAGAGCTATAAGAATTATTAGTAGTATGAAGGTCACCCAACAAATATATTATTTCATCAATTAAAATTATTAAAATGTTATGATTTGATTGAATATAGTATTTTACAAGTCACATATAAAGCTCATAAAAATATTAGCCCCAAATATTCAATTAAAATTTGTAAAAAATAAATATAAAAAAAGCAGAGTCAATATAACTTAAGGGAATGTAAATGTTTGTAAAACCTCCATTTAGAACTAGTGTGAAGGAGCTGCGTTGTAATTCAGGGAACAGGATTATGGAATTGTCTTGATATCACCATAAACATTTCTAAAACAATTTATATGTTTAAAAAGATGATAGTTAAAGTTGTTGGGAACGTTTAGGACCAGGTGAAGGATCCCTGAAGTTTTTTTGTTTTCAGTTTGGAGATTGTTCAAGTCAAAGTTGTTGTTTGTTTGTAGTTATTTTGTATTTTTTAAATTAGGGGCAGATCAGAATTTTTTTCATCTTTCTGCAACCTTTTCATTCAATGTTTTTTTTTTCTTTCTGATGAATTTGTTTTATTTTAAATGAATGAATAAATGATAAAAACAAACAAACAAAAAACATGCAGCGCTGGGGAGTGTTTCAGGGACACGTTGGCTCAAACCTTATTGTGCTTCATCTTGTGACTCATCATCTTCTGTCAAGAGGAACAAGTTAGATGTTCCAAACGCTAGTTAGAACGACTCTCCGTCACATTTTGCAGCACATTGACTGAAACCTGCAGTTTATCAGATCTTAGAAAGCCGAACCACTTCCAAATCAGCGAATTAGTCTTTTCTCTCCTGTCATTGATGTCCTCTGCTTTCTCTTCGCTTGTGAAACCTTGTTCAGTCACATTCTGACGATCAGGGCACTCATTTTGAAGAGAAAACTTAACGCGCATTGGAGGTTAGCCTAGCTTAGCCTGCTACCACTAACGCCTTCTGGACTTGAGCTCTGCGTAACATTACGTCACCACACACTTCTTAGGTAGTTGTGTCGCACCTTTTTCTGTCCGGGTTGAAACTGAAGTGGCCGCTTCAACCTGAACAGAAACAGAAATGTGTCAGTGAAACGCTGTAATCATATCGAAAATGTGCTTAAAACTCATCGTTATTGAATAAAAGTATATCGCAAGATATATTGATATCGAATTAGTTAGGTCTTTATATTCTACTAGTCCTAAAGTCTTACAAGATTGTAAAGACGTAACTGAAGTTTTAGCTGAATTTTATTTTATTTTTTACAACTTGCTGGATGTGAGGCTTCAATCAGAATCCCTCTGCGTTTGTATTCATGCTCTAAAAAATAAATAAATCAGAAAGTATCGTTTGACACTTATTGACCAATAAATTTTATGTTTGTTGTTTATAAGTTTCTTCAACGTCCTTTGACTTTTTACAGGAAATCCAGTCATTTCAGCCATTATTGTTTCAGTGATATTATGACTTTGATCTGTGCTTTTCACTCGTGTTCAGTTTTGTAACCACATTGTTACAAATGACCAATATATGTATGCGTGTTTAAAAAAAATATTATTTGTCTCTGCAGCAATCCAAAAAGTGAGGAGAAGCGCAGTGGTGCTGGCTCGCACAACTGGGGCAGCGTGAAGGATGAAGTGAAGTAAGTTTTATTGATGGGGGGGGGGGGGGGGAAAAGGGATGAGAAGCCATAGATTTTTCTTGTTCTGTATTTCTATGAAGTGGTTCTGTTTTTGTAAAAGCACATGTTTTAATGTCATGTTAAATAATAAAGCTTTAATTTATATTAAATTAAATGCGTGTAGTAACAGTTCTCTATAGAATTGATAAATCGCAAAGCGTTTGCAATTGTTTTAGTATTCAAACAAGTGACTTGTTCTTGTTTGCAGTGAAGCTGAACAGACTGCTGCTCCTGAGACGACCACAGAGGGGGAGGAAAATACACCTGCCAGCTCCGAGAACAAGTCAGAATCTGTTCTTTTTCCACAATTTGGGGTTCTATTTTTCTGTCAAATGCCTTCACTGACAAACTTCATGTTCCAGTCACTGCTGCAAACAGCAGAAACACTGACGCTCTGACTCGAGGTTAAAACAAACTGTGGGAACGTTTGTGTTCTTACATTCTTGTGGTGCCTTCCAGAGAGAACGAGGTTGAAGAGGTGAAAAACGAAGGCCCCAAAGAGATGACCCTCGACGAGTGGAAGGCCATGCAGGATAAGGAGCGCACCAAGGTGGAGTTCAACATCCGCAAGCCCAACGAGGGAGCCGACAGCCAGTGGAAGAAAGGATATGTGCTGCACAAGTCCAAGAGTGAAGACGTAAGTGTGAAAACCTGACACATCAGCGCGGTGCTTGTAGGGATCCGGGTTAGGATGGACCTTCAATTTTGGTCATGTTTGTTTTGTACTGGATGGTTTTACTGGGGGGGGCTGCTGTGCGGTTCCCCTGAGGGATTCATCTGGAATCTGCAGTGTTTTGGGCCTTCTTTTTGTAATATCTATCACTCCCAGACAACACTCTTGACAAGACAGGCAGGAGGCAGCAGTAAGCAAGAAGCAGAACCTGCACCTGTTTCTTATTTGTACTTGTGCTTGTTGTTTTTGTACAGGATAGCAATGACATGCTGTAGCTAATTAAAGGTTTACCATGGAGGAAGAGCGTTCAGCCAGAGCATTTGAATGCTGGTTTAAACAGTGAATCAGAACCCATAATACTTTTGGTGCCTTTTCCTTTAACGCTTGGATGGTTTTGTGGGGAAAAGTCAGCCGCATATCTGTCTTTGTTGCGGTCTTTAGGTGGGGGGTATTGCCAATCCAGCTTCTCGTTTGGTTCGGTTGTAGAGGTTTTAGTCTGAGTAACTCAACTTGAAGTAGGCATGAAACTATTGAGACCACAAAGCATCACAAAATTCTGACTTTGAGCCTGCACATTAACTGTAAAAAGACCATCCATTTTCTTCTGCTTATCCGGGGTCAGGTCGAGGGGGTTGCAGCCTAAGTAGTGAGGCCCAGACTTCCCTCTCCCCAGCCACTTGGGTCTGCTCCTTCGGGGGAATCCTGAGGCGTTCCCAGGCCAGCTGAGAAACATCATCACATGAGGGTAGGAACGTAGGTCGACTGGTAAATTGAGAGCTTTGCCTTTTGACTCAGCTCTCTCTTCACCACGACAGACCGGCACAGCGTCCGCTTCACTGCCGACGCCACACCTATCCACCTATCGAGCTCTCGCTTCGTTTTTCCCTCATTCGTGAACAAGACCCCAAGATACTTGAACTCCAGAAGTGGAGGAGTAAAAAGACCGTATTAGCCATATTAGCATTTCCCCTGCCTTGTCCATGGAGGGTGGCCCCACCATAAAGATTATGGCATGTTGGGACTGGATAATATGGCCAAAACTTTCATCACTATGTATTTCTTCATTTTGGTTGATAACTATATATAAGTGCCAGAAGTTTTCTCTGTAAGAGTCCCAGAGAGACTGTGTGAGCTGCAAAGCATGCTGGGTAGCCTTGTGAAAATTATAAGTGCAGTGTTTCTGATTGTTTACAATGTTTCTGAGTGTGGGAATGGATTATTCTTGTTTTTGTCCTGTTCAGGTTAGGGCTGGGCGGTGTGGACCAAAATTAATAATGGAGTCAAAGCTTTGCTCCAATTGTCACACAGGCACTTTTATTAACAAACAGCTGTAACGCTACTAAATGTCTAAAGAATAAACTATTTACATATATTAAATAATAATCCTCTTCAGCTGCGCCACCTCCCCAATGTTCGTACCGGTAAGCGTGTGTGAAGCAGCACGTGAGGGGTCGTGTTTGTATTCAGTGAGGGAGAAGGGGCTGCGCAGGAAAAGGAGATCTACACGGATTTTCAGGTCTAATAATACTCTATGGTTGTGATGGAGCCATTTTAACCATCGTAAATTGAAAACCTTGTGATACTTGAGTATGTTCGATACATTGTCCAGCCCTAGTTCAGGTTTGCTGTGGTGTTTATGTTGAAGTTTCTGTTATTGTCTGTAAACTGACACCATGAGTCAGAGGTTGTTCCCAGTACGTATAAGGGGAAAGCACTGGTTAAACGGAGAACATCCTCGCTGATGATGTCTCGGCGAGACCAGACCTGGCACTGTGTTTGTGTAAATCAACGCTTCCAGTGGGAAGGGGCTCTGTAAGCTTTGTTTAAAGGTCTCTCTCACCGATGTTTTCTGATTGTTTTAAATATTTTAAATTTTCTTAACGAACTCCTCGGCGGCGTCCACCTCTGCTCTACAGTGTCAGTCAGCTTTGCTTGTACCTCTGACCTCAGCTAGTTGTTTGTTACTGTTGGCCTGCAACTTGAACTGATAAACTAATTCTGTGACACAAGTAGAACAACGTGTTGATGTGTAACGATGAATTACAGCTAACTTTTTTTTTTTTGTGGTCATCTGCTGTGAGGCTGTTAAGAGTGCAACAAGAGACTGAATCAGCAGATGTTACTTGGGCACTCAGGATTTGGAAGTGCAGTAGACATGCACTGATTAAAATCCTCAGTTTCTGCAACAGATTTCCATCATTTTGAACTTGCCAAAGTGGATTTCCATCATTGGAAGAATTAAATGGGGGGGGGGGGGGGCTTGTATTTTGTTTTGTTAATGCCATTCAATCTGACTAAGATAGAGAGATTAAACTGATTTCAACAAATGAAGAGAAATGCAGTCATGATTTTATTCAGTCGTGCTGTCTGATACACAGTGAACCCAGAGCTGTTTCCAACTTAGAGACAGCTACATGTATGCACAGTATTATAGCAACAACAAGGTGTTGTGGCCGTTTAGATGAGCTAAACTGGATTATATTTAGAACCACACAGAGAGGTAACTACTGTGGAACATGGAATTCAATAATAAATTGGCAACTATGAACAATTAACAGTACTGAATGACTCTATGAGCTGAAATTCTGTAAGTATAATCCATTTCTCATTAAAACAAATACAATAAAAAATGTAAGTTACACTTTGCAAAAGACTTCATGTACCGTAATTTATGCCGTACTTGTCGCTCCGCCCTATAAGTCTCATCAGTCCATATTTGTCTAATAAAGTGGAAAAATCCATAAATATGTTGCTTCGTCGTGTACGTCACATCTATTATGTGTCACCGCTGACGCGTCACGTTTGTTGTGCATCAGCGGTGACAACCCAGAAATGTGGGCCGGTGTTGTGCCAAACATCGATGGGCTGCCAAATGGCGGCCACAGGAGCGTGCACGGGAGGACTTTAACAAGAATTTAATAAGTTTAACACCTAAAAATAATTGTTTGTTTGCTTGAAATTATAGCAAAGGTGTGTCTCAGTCTAATGTTGGCTTAATAAATGCACTTTAATGGTCAAATCAGCTGCATTTCAAAAGTATTTACTGCCTCGGTGCTCCAGGAGCGCGCAGAGGGAGGGGGGGGGGGATAAAAAAGGTGGAGGAACGCTGCTCGTTTCTTTGAAATTTCACAAGAAAAGCATCTAAAACAATTATTTGTTTGCTCGAAATTCTAGCAAAGGTGTGTCTCAGTCCAACATTTGCTTAATAAATGCACTTTAATGGTCAAATCAGCTGCATTCTGCCGGGGCGGTGCAGCTGTTTTGACTGTTGTCCAAGCAGTGAGCAGACGAGAGGTGGGGCAGTATGGTAGACCGATTTCTGTTTTTCAAGAGAGACCTGATTTCAACAAAGATTGATGACGACAATGGACAACAGTGACAACAATAGACAGTTATAAAAAGTTATACAGATTTATTTATTTGTACAAATAAGATGGCAAAAAGAGTAACAAAACAGCTAGATTCTAAGGTGAATGTAGAAAACTAAAAACAGGAACATGTCTGCATTGGTCCCTGCCAGGAGTCCAACAGATTCTTAAAGACACTTAGAGAGGTCAAGGTCGAGAGCTTCAGATCTTTTTGTAAGAAATTCCAGGAAACAGGAGTGGAGTAGGAGAAGGCCCTTTTGCCTAGTTCAGTCCTCACTGAGGGAACACTGCAGGTAATAATGTCCTGAGAGTGCACGCTGTAGCTGCACTCACGCAGAGACATGTAGGAGGAGATGTATGAAGGCAACAAACCAAGAAGTGATTTAAAGATGAAAATGTACCAGTGAGAGAGTCTGCGTGAAGTTAATGATGACCAGTTAACCAGTCAATACAGGGTACAGTGGTGGGTACGATAATCACAGCCAGTTATGAATCTTAGTGCACCATGATAGGCAGCATCCAACATCTGCAGGGTTCTTGTAGGAGCGTTCATGTAAATAATGTCACCGTAATCAATGGAGGGAAGGAAAGTCACAGATACAAGGCGTTTTCTAGCATTCAGGGTTAGACAGGATCTGTTTCTGAAAAAGAAACCCAGTTTAACTTTCAGTTTCTTTACCAAGTTTTCCACATGGAGCTTAAAAGAGATGTGAGTCGACCAAGATACCCAAATATTTATAGGAATCAACAAGCTCAATGGGGACACCATTTGAGGATAAAATTGGAGGGAGAACTGCTGGGACTGACTTCCTGTTTGAAAAAAGCATCCCTTTGGTTTTGTCGGCATTTAGGACAAGTTTGAGGTGAAACAAATCAGTCTGGATGATGTTGAATGCAGATTTCAAAAGCTGGAAAGCCTTAGCAACAGTTTTAGCTCGACAATAAACAACTGTGTCATCAGTAGAAATGTATGGATGCATTAGGGATGTTTTTACCTACATTATGTATGTAGATTGTAAAGAGGGTGGGTCCTAAGACTGAGCCTTGAGGTACACCATTGTTGACTGTTAAATAACTGGAGGAAGTACCATTATGTTGAACACATTGCCTCTGATCTGAGAGATTGTTAGAGAACCAACCAATGGTGTGTTCTGAGAAACCAATTTCTGAGTTTATGACACAAGATGTTATGATCCACAGTGTCAAAAGCTTTAGACAGGTCTAAGAAAAGTGCAGCACAATAATCCTTAGCTTCCAGTGCTTCAACAACGTCATTAAGAACCTTCAATTGTATCTGACAACACCTCAGTTGAAAACACTGAAATGACAGGAAGGTAAACTACAGAAAAGTTGTCCAGAACCCCTCTCGTCCTTCAGAATGTGTGAATAAATGGAGGAGGTTGATGATTCTCAGATAACCTCTAAGTGTAAAAAATATGTAAGTCAAGATTTTTTTTTTCTGCTTTAAACCCTGAACGTTACCATCTTTAGATCCTTAAAAGTTCTATTTCAACAAACTTTTATTCAAAATGACTGAATTGAAGGTTGATCTTGAATACGTGTTAATTTTAGACCATAAAATAATCCAAGGCTTGATGCAGTCATTGTGCAACATCCTCCTGCTGTTCTGAAGCTTCAGTAACATGTCGCAGCTGAAACACAAAATGCTTTTCCTCCTCAGAGGCCTGTTGGTGCTTTGATCGAAGGCTCAGAGACGGAACCAGACACTCCTGCTGTTTACCACAAGGTACCTGCACCCGTCCATGTAGTCCATAAAACCATTCATTGGCTGATGTTTCTATGAAACCATTTCAATATATGCATTTTGAGGGGGGAGCGTTGGTGCAGAGGTTAGAGAAGTGACCCTGTGATCAGAAGGCCGCCGGTTTAAATCCCCTTGCTGACATGATGAAGCACCAACCCTGGTCCCTTGAGCAAGGAACGTTTATAATTTGACTTTGTGATTGTTTTTATGCCGGATGTTCTTCCTGATGCAACCACAGACCACCGAGCTCCCACAGCCCTCTGTGAGCTGCCATCTAGGGCACCCAGGGGAGCAGATGGTGGGGGTTAAGGGCCTTGCTCAAGGGCCCATAGTGGGACAAATGAGGGTGGAGGTGTGGGTGCTTCACCCCCATTTTGATGTTGTCAGTCCAAGGAGTCAAACCAGAGACCTTCAAATCATATGACTGTGTGTGTGTGTGTGTGGGGGGGGGGGGGGGGGTTGAATGTGTATGAATGTATTTTGAAAAGTTGAAAGCAAACACAAAAAAGCTGTTCTACAGAGTTAAGTCAGGTCCTCTGGATGGAGGACCTGACTTAACTCTGTAGATTTTCTCCGTGGACCATTGAGCAGGACTCTAGCAGCTGTTCCACCTCCACCTGGTCTGTTACAGCAGGGCACCGCTGACGAGTCCAGTGACCACCATTTCCGCAAACCAGCCAACGACATCACTTCTCAACTGGAGATCAACTTCGGAGACCTGGGCCGTCCTGGTCGCGGGCGTGGGGGTGCTCGCGGAGGCAGAGGAGGCCGCGGAGGGGGAGGCAGCCGGCCGGCACGTGGGGGAGGGCGGTCTGAAAAGGTAACGACACAAACGGTGTCCTTCATAAAAGGTTCAGCTCAGTGACTGAACAGACTCTTCAGGATAACAGCTGAAGCTCGGCCGCCGACCTCATCGGTGAGGTTCATAAACACTGATCCTCAATTATCAGCTGTTCGATGTCCATTGTTGTGCAGCTTCTAATATCTGGGTGTTATTCGGCAGTGCAGCCGAACGTTATCACCTCCGTGCACTTTACAGAACATGCTGTTAAAGGTTTCATTCAGTTTGACTGGGCTGTTGTGAAAATGTTGAGAACAGTAGTTTTGTTCTTTTCAGCCTCTGACAGCCAAAAGAAAGAATGAATAAAATCTTAAGTGTATTTTTGTAGACGACTCTTTGAATGACCTCAATTAGCAGAAACAGTTTAATTCTTTCAGAACCGATGAGCTAAAGAGAATATTTTAAACACAGTCGACACTAAAGTCTTGGCATCTCATAAAGTCCTCTTAGAATTTTTATAGCGGTTCACCTTAATGTTATTTTTGTTATGTTCCTTTTTTACAGGCATTTCAATGGAAATACGACAGTTCTGCAGGGAAATTACTTCATCTGGCTGCTGCTGTTTGTTCATCTAAATTGCCAGAAAAGTCATTAACATTTGCATTGTCGTTAACTTTGTCACATCTACATGAGTTCTGCACAGTGATATCACTGCACAGTCCACAATCGTGTGTCTTGTACAATATCTTTTGTGTAATATTCTGGACTGTACGCCCACAAACAGCGATAGAGCGAGTCCACAGAAGTCGAACCTCGTCGTAGTGAGGGACTACAGTAATGCTACATTTGTGTTCTGTCGTTGGACTGCAGTGTTTTTTCTTTATTTATTTCTTTGTTGTTTACTAAACTTGGCTTTGTCCCTTCCAGCAGCTCTGATTCAGGCCCTGACTGTTCTGGTTCTCTTGTGTTTTCAGGCGAGCGGAGCGTCAGTCCCTAACGTGGATGATCCCGAGGCCTTCCCAGCCTTGGCCTAAAAGCTCCGTCTCTCACCACCAGCCCAACCCATCTGCCCTTCCGGGCCCCTCCTCTACGAGGCTTGCATGCTTACCACATCTTCAAGTATATAAGAAAAACAAAGATTAAAAAAAAAACATGGCAGACTGTCATCCCATACCACTCACAACACCAGAGGACTAAAGTTTTATCAGTTTTAAAGAGCAAAAACAAAAACAAAAAAAATGGAAAAGCACCTCTTGTTACACTGAAGTTTTGTATCTAGGAACAGGAAAGCAGGGATGTTTTCTTTTATCTTTTTTTTTTTTTTTTTTTTTTTTTTTTTTTTTTTTTTTTTTTTTTTTCAGAGATTATACATACTTCATTAATATTTTTGTGCTGCTTGATTTTATGTATTTCTGCAGTTGGATTAAAGTGTGTGCATCTCTTTTTTTTCCTGATGACTTCAGTTGAGTATTATGAAGTCATTTGTAGAAAAGACTTTAGTGGGGCTCCTCCAGATCTCCCCCCAGTAACACACTCTGCCACGGTAGCGTGACACTACATGAAGAACTTGTATTAGATGTCTGGAGTACAGAATAATGTGCATTAAAGTGTAATTCTGACTGTTCTTGACAAATTGAGGATCAGCAAATTGACTTCAGACACAAGCTTGGTATAATTTCTGCTTGATGTGCAGTGAAAGGTAATGCCTCTTTCTTATTTTATTTTTGATAAAGTGGACCAGTGCTTAGTAATGCTTTTGTATCTTCTGATGCAGATGTGCTACCTGTTTTTAGGTTGTCCCGTGGCCCGGTGTGTAAGGCTGGTCCTCTAGGTCACGCAAGTAGGGCTACTTCCGGACCACTAAGCAACACCCTTCTCCTCCCC